GATGTAATCTTCACTTTAGTTGTAAAACTCAACATATTTTAACAGATAAATTGACAAGATTGAAAGTGAATTAAGATCAAAGTGAAAAGATCATCACAATTTCTTAAACATTTTCATTGCTTCACCAATTCAAATCACCATTTCACAAATCTCGAGACAAGGAGAAAGACAGAAAAAACTACTCAGATCTCATGGGGAAAACACAACAAAACTCAGAATTCATATATAAAATCAAAGTCATACAAACTACAATAAGTAAATAACTTATCTCTAATTTCTCCCCAAGAAAACTCCTCGAAGTTCCTCTGAATCTCTTCCTTTCTTTACAGCACACAAAATTCCTCTTCGAAGCAGCAAGGAGGAAGAAATCTCTCACTTTCCCTTCACTCTTACAATCTCTCGAAGAATATTCACAATTTTTACACACTATTGGAACCTTTCTAACCTCCAGGAACTCTCCAGGACTTCCAAGATCTCCAGGCTCCCTCAATTTTCGGCCAAAATAGTCTTTTAAAGTTGTGGATGAGCTTTCTCAAGAGTCGCCTAAGCATCCCTTTAAAATTTGGCCTTATCCAAAGCCTAATAGGGCATAAATCAAGCTCACCGTCGGCGGACCTTCTTAATGAATTAATTTCGGAGTTTCGGTCGGAGTCTCGGGAAAATATCACCGTAGGCGGGGTCGATGGTGTCGTCGGTGCCCTAGTTCAATTCTTCACATTTTGGTCATTTTTGCTCCAAATTCGCTCATTTTTGCATTTTTTTGCTCCAATGACCCTAATTCATCATTTCTACAACAAAACATCAAAAATACCTTTCTTTAAAGTGTAATATCATAAAAAATAGTATAAAATAGGTATGAAAATCTCAACATATTTTCCTCTGGTCATGTCCCCCTCACAAAATTTGGTCTTTGCAGCCTTTTGAGCATAGAATTCCTCCTGCACAGAAATTGCATTCATTAAAGTTTCATTTTCCACCAATAATTCATTTTCCAAATCAGGATTAGATTCCAAGCTTGCCTCCAATTGAGCAACAGATCATTCAGCCTCTTGGACTTTCAAGTTGACATCTCCCACCACTGACCAATTCCAAGAAGAAAGATGTCTGCCCATCTTTTTGTGAAGTAACCACAATTTAATCGAAGGGTATTGATGGTAACAATCCTTCCACACTTGGGCCACTTGGTTAAGAAAATCATAGTGGGAGGACCACATATTAAGATATCTAAATCTAGACTTGTGCTTTGTGGGGGAGGTAGAAATGGAGAAGAGTAATGGCCTGTGTTCTGAGCTAGTCATGCTTAGGTGCTGAACAGAAGTGTGTAAGAATTCACTCAGCCATAAGGAGTTGACAAACAATCTATCCAACCTTTCCTAAAGAGAGCCTCTTCTCCAAGTGAACCTAGGACCATTGAAGCCGAGGTCAAATAAACCAGTCAAATTGATATTTTCATTAAAACAGTTGATCTGATTAATATTTAGAGGCCTTCCTCCTAATTTTTCAGAAGGTGTTGAAATATAGTTGAAGTCTCCACCAACCAACCATATAAAATTGCAGGGCCTACTAATAGATTGAAGGCTCCCCATAACTCCTTCTAGCAATAGTAGAACTCCCAACATATATGAAAGTGGCCAACCCTTCCTGACCACCAATGTTGAACTGAATGTGCTAAAATTGTGGATGATCCCATAGAATATTACAAAGAACCTCCTTCCTGCAAAACACCCAAATTTTATTATTGAAATTTGAGAATTTAGTAAAGTCAAAAAACTTCTTTAGGATTTTATGAGAGTTTTTGGAAACCATGGGCTCCAAGATAACCAAGCTCCAAAATTTTTACATTCTATTAAGGGCAAGGATTCTGTTAAGGGATTTAGGATGTGCCAATCCCCTAACATTCCATCATAGAAAGTGCATCATCCAATGGAGATGGATTTCCCACTCCTTCTGGCTCTTGCCATAGCCTCCTTCCTTCCTTGATGAGAGTCTTTCCCTAAAAGAATAAGCACCTTCCTGCAAAATTTTCAATTCTAAGATTCTTTTCTTCTTTTTTCTAGATTTTTGAATTTGCCATTTTTCTTCCATGGCATTATTCAATTGCAAGAATACGTTATCATCCACAGAATAATCCCATTGATCCACTCCTTTAATATCCTGATGAACATCAGAGACTTACAAAGCTGGAGAAAGTGATTCCTTTTCCATATCTTCATCAACCATTTCAGTAACCAGCTCACAATTAGGTTCTTGAACATCTGGGTTATACCCAGAAGGTCCTGCCTCAAAATTGAGTGGAAACTTGCCCATATATTCCTCATTATTTAGTGTTTGATGGTTAGCATTAGCAGCCTCATCCCCCAAACAAACATTCTGAACTTCCTGAAACTGCTCTGGGAAGTTCAACACAGCTGCATTGGGGGGTAAAGGAGTGTTATCTGCCATTTTCCTGAGGTTAGGATGTAGTCTGAAGCATCTAACATTTGTGTGCCCAAACATTTTAACAGTGGTGACAGTAATAAGGTTTCTGTTCAACTATGATCTTCTGTCAATAGCCATTATGCTCAATGCTTAACCAGATTTCATCAACATCAGGGAGGGTAATGTCCCTTTTCACCAGAATTCTTGCTACATAAGGTCTTGATAAGTTAAAAGTAGGGACATCAAATTTCAGTGGCCTACCCAAAGCTTGCCCAATGTTGAAGAGGACATTGTGGTTGAAGAAGTGAAGCTTGAGCCGTGGAAGTTTAAACCAAATAGGTACAATAGGAAGTTCCTTGCTAGGATCAAACTCTGTGGACCACTTGAGGATCTTCATTGTAATCTCTTCAATCTGTAAAATATGCTTAGAGAATATTTTAGCATAGTCTTCCTCACTGGATAAATTAATCAAAATATGTCTTCCACCTAAAAGTCCCACTCTCCAAACACCATTATGCTTAATGCTGTCAAAAAATTTTCGTATAGCTTCCATTTTAGGATGCCCCAACCGAAATTTTCCTATGAGAGTGAACTTGTAGACCTCAGTCAGCCCTTAAAGATCCTCCTCAAAATAAAAAATAGCCATCTTCCCTCCTTCCCTGCTTAAAGGCTTAATAATGGGGCCTGCCCTCTCATGATAAGCATGCGGAAAAACCAGGTCATCATAATTTTTAATAGTATCAAAGTCTTTTCCTACAATGTCAGCAAAGGTAGCCTTTGTCCATTGGATGTTAGTGGCCAAATCCAAGGTATTTGGCTTAGTCATCAGATCACACTTCAAGGGAACAATAAACTTTTGAAAATAGGTTTTCCGGGAAAGAAGAAAACGAGAAAACCAGCAGCCACCAGCAAGAAAAGGCTGAAAAAAGCACTTGGAGAAAAAAGAAAACGAGAATAAGGACTGAGAGCCACCACAAAGACCCAAACCTCAGCCATTCCATGGAAACCCTAGCAAAGCAACCACCTGCACAACCGCCATCATATGATATCTATATATGCATGTATAATGTATTTATCTTTAGAGCATAAAATTTAATAAACTTAGATATCTCTTAATCTTAAAATCATGTACAATACAACTCTTAATCTTAATTTGACTAAAATGAAATAGAGAGAATGCAAGTTAAAATTTATGATAGAAATATGAATTCCTAAATAAATCTAGCTAAACATAAAAAAGAAAAAAAAAAAGCTAAAGCAGCAGTTAAGTTGCTGGCAGTTAAGTTGCTGATTAAATATACATACAAATAAAATCGAGCCAATTCATTGATTAAAAGAAGATGATACTGCCAGCCTCATTACTATATATATTATTTTTTAATTAATTAATTTATTTTATACCAACTAGCACAAGTAAGAAATGAGTTCGTCTGACGTTAGGGGCTTAAATGTCACTAAACAGCCTGGTTAAAATAATTTTGACTTTTTGTATTCCAATCTATTTTTATTCACCTGTGTCCTCTTTTAAGGCTTCCTCTCACCTCCTCACACACGGCTCTCGTTTGGATTCTCAATTCCGCGCCACGCCCATGGCTCCCAGCCGGAAAGGACTGCAACTCACCTCCGTCTCTGGCGGCCGTCGCGAGGACGTGATATCGATGAGAGAAGATTCCGGCGATCTTGAGGATGTAAGGCTTCTCGATTCGTACGAAGATGAGGAGGAAGTGTTGGGAAGAAAAGAGAAAGACGGCAAGGGCATGAGGAAGATTCAGCTTAGGGTTACGGGAATGACGTGTTCGGCGTGCAGCAGTTCTATTGAGTCAGCGGTTGGCGGCGTCCCGGGAGTTGCTCGGGTAAACGTCTCATTATTACAGAACAAAGCCCATGTGGTGTTCGATCCTAATCTTGTGATGGTGAGTTTTTTCTAAGTCTTGATTTTTGTGGTATTATTGGTTTTGGGCGAGAGTTGGTGGTTTTGACTTTTTCGGTTTAATTGAATGTAAATGGTTTGTGATTCTGTGGATCAAGTTTGCCCTATGTCTGCCTCATTGTTTCATGTTGAAGTGCCTTGTGGTTTTGTTTTTTTAGAAGGGGATGCAGTCTGTTCTTTACAAATTGGATTTGGAGATAAATTTTGATGGGATTGCTTAGTATGCTTTCATAACTAATGAATATGTTACGAGTTACTCTAATGTGCCAAGAATAGGAGTTTCAAGTTTCTTATGAGATTTTGGACAATTCTCCTTACTGCGCCTCTTATTTCTTTTTCATTTAAACCTTACATCTTGAAATTATAAGCCAAATGATTTCTTAGATTTAATCAAGTTTAACTTTTAAGATGTCATTCAAGATTATGGCCTCCAAATCTGAATTTACAAGATTTGTTAAATCCCGCTTGTAGCCAAACACCCCCTAACAGCGTCTGTGTACCTTTGTCTTTAATTGCAGTAGAACGCTTATCTGTGTAGTTTTTACTGGTCGTTTGGGGTGACCTTAGTATATTGGTCATGACATAGTTAAACGTTGCAGTGAAAGGCCCTGATATATGAAATTTCTAGGCGTTAGTTTGCCTTTCTCATTCTAGCCGGAGAAAGAACCACAAAAGCAATCCACCTATACTATATCCTTACGAGTGTGTAGTTAATGAATTTGATTAAGGTTTTGGATGAAATTTGCAGGTGATCAATTTGTTGTCAATATTCTGCATATCATCTCTTAAGATGCTAACTTGAAAAACTCTCCTAGGTTTTTGTTGTCTGGTTGCAAAGACACTGACAACCTTCATTCTGAGCTTCCAAAGGTAGAGATGGGTCACTCCATTTTCATTCTCTATGGGTTCCTGTTCAAGGTGAATGGATTTTGGTGTTGTAGATTGAGGTGCAGGTAGGGTCAATTCTAGCTGTACATGCGTTTGTGACTAAAGATGTTGCTTTTCGGTGCATATTTTCAGCATATTGCAACAACCCAATTTTCAAATGTTATTCGGTTTTTTCAATGATATAGCTGTTTTCTGAAAAATGAAATTTTTTTTTCAATTTTGGTTTTTTTTTTAATCAATAGAATGTAAATAGCCCGGATTGTGAATATAAACTAATCATCAGTCATTGTTTTGAAGGCAAGGATTTTTTTACACTTATATTTTGTTTGGTACTAATTCCATATTTTGATACCCGAGGTGGCTTTCTATTGCTTACATTTATTTTTATCTATTATACACTGAGACTTTCTAATTTCAAAGTATGTGGTGTATTACACATACAGGAGGCGACATGCGTCTAACACATGTTGGACACTCTGTTGGCATATCGAATTAAAACATAATAAATAATTAAAGGACACTCGTGCCATAGGCTTGATAAATTAATGATGATGTGGCTGATAAGAGGTTCTCAATTTTGAAATAAACAAATGGAATATGCCTTTGATAATTATTTTCTTAATAGCCTCTTTTTATAATATTTATTTTTTGTTTCTTTTACAAAAGAACTGATTATCTTTATATGAAATAAACTCAATGTATTTTAAATTTTTTTAAATTTATGCAAATAAAATGCCATGTTTGTATCTTACTTTTTTTAACAATGGATGTGTCCCATTTGCGTGTCCCCACATCCAAATATGTGCATCATAGATTATCATTCATTCCTGGAGTTCATGACCTCAATTTACAATTAATAATGCTATTGTTTCGCTTCATTTCCTTGTTTTCAAAGTCGCATTTCTTCTAATTTTGATATATTTTGCTTTTTTGCGTAGGATGAAGACATAAAAAATGCTATTGAGGATGCAGGTTTCGAAGCTGAGGTTCTTCCAGATTCTGAATCAGCTCATTTAAAGTCACAAAAGATTCTAACAGGGCAATTTAGGATAGGTGGTATGACCTGTGCAGCATGTGTTAATTCTGTTGAAGGTATTTTAAGAAAGATTCCTGGTGTGAAAAGGGCAGTGGTAGCTCTAGCAACTTCATCAGGGGAAGTTGAGTATGATCCATCGGTCATTAGCAAAGACGATATTGTTAGTGCAGTGGAAGATGCTGGATTTGAAGCTGCATTTCTGCAAAGCAGTGAACATGATAAATGCTGTTTTTCAATTGCTGGATTACATACTGAAAGTGATGTTCATCTTTTGCAAGGAATACTTGAAAACATAGAAGGAGTGAGGCAATTTGAGATAAACAATAATATGTCAGAGTTTGAAGTAATTTTTGATCCTGAAGCTATTGGTTTGAGATCAATAGTTGATGCAGTCGACAGTGGGAGCAGTGGTCAGCTCAAAGCTACTGCCAGGAACCCTTGCAATGGAGCAGCGCCCAATGATACCAAAGAGGCATCAAAATTGCTTCGGCTTTTCATCTCTAGCTTGATCCTCAGTGTGAGTGTGATCATATATTTTATGATAGCATTTTCATTGTTATAGAGTTTGCCATCATCTCTTTTTGTTAGGTGTGTTTTCATTTCTAAACTTATGGAACTCTTTGCATCATGGTTCAGGTTCCTATTTTTCTCATCAGAGCAATATCTCCGTATATACCGTTTATCAATTCCTTTCTACTCATGCACTGTGGACCTTTTGTAATTAAAGATATACTGAAGTGGGCATTGGCTTCTATAATCCAGTTTGTTATTGGCAAAAGATTCTATATTGCAGCATACAGAGCATTGCGACATGGTTCGACGAATATGGATGTATTGATTGTGCTGGGAACTTCAGCTTCTTACATCTATTCAGTTTGGGCTGTATTATATGGTGTGAGCACAGGTTTCAGGTCCCCAACATATTTTGAGACAAGTGCAATGATAATTACTTTTGTGTTATTTGGGAAGTATTTGGAAGTTGTTGCAAAGGGCAGGACATCTGATGCTATCAAGAAACTTGTGGAACTTTCTCCATCTACTGCTATTTTATTAGAGAAAGATGCAGGTACATATTTCGAACATGGGCTGGACAGTCTATTATTAAAAATGAATTCTCCTGCAGTTTGATTACTCAAATTTGATAAATGTCATCTTGTTGTTTGGACATCTTCAATCTTTTTTCTTGTTATTAAAAGGTCTGTCCTCAAAGTATCTTTAACTGCTTTACATTGCTTATATGCAATCCTTTTTTTTTAACAGAAGGAAGATATACCACTGAGAGAGAAATTGATGCTCTTCTTGTACAACCAGGAGATGTTTTAAAAGTATTTCCTGGTTCAAAAGTTCCATCGGATGGTCTGGTAGTCTGGGGTACAAGCTACATTGATGAAAGTATGGTCACCGGTGAATCAAAGCCAATAGCAAAGCAAGTTTCTTCTCCAGTTATTGGGGGTACTATGAATTTACATGGAGCTCTTCACATAAAAGCTACTCGAGTGGGTTCTAATACAGTTTTGAGCCAGATTATTTCTTTGGTTGAGACAGCCCAATTGTCTAAAGCTCCTATCCAGCAATTTGCTGACTATGTAAGTGTTTTATGTTTATTCTATTTATTGTTGTCGTTTATACGCGAATATCCATAATCTCTCTTTTTTAGTTTTTTATTCTCATATCTTCTAATTTAGTAGCTTGTATAAACATAAGCGGCACTTTTTATTGAAAATTTAAAGTTAACCTCTTTCTTTTTGCAGTTAAGTTCAAACTTATGGTGCTGTCCGTAGCCGCACCCCCCCCCCCCTTTACTTCCCAATTATGCAAAGCGTTCAACTGAATTCATTAACATTTTTTTTGCTTGTAATCAAAAACGGAAATTATTAACTTTATTAAGCTGCCAATAGTTTCTCAAGCTATTATTTGTTTTTCATTTTTAAGTTTCTAGGGTTCCAATTTTGTCCATTTGAGAAAGTTCACGCTAGATTTATCATTTAATAAATCAGTGGTCACTTAAATGTAAGGGGCTAAGTCATGAAAGTAGAAGCATCATCAAGATAACGATGCACTAGAAGTAAACAAACAAACATGAGAAAACATAACTAAAAAACTACAGGTATTTTTGTTACATGGTAATATGAAACTACAGGTTTGTTTGGTACAGCTTTCTGTTTGCTTTGTATTGCAATCTGCCGCCACAGTTTGGGGAACTGTTTTTTGTTTTTTTCTAGAAATTTTGTGGTAGAAATTTTCTTTTTTCAACTTGTCATGTTCAAAGTGTGATGATTATAAGAAAATTGCTGTCTCATTTTTTGAAAAAAAATATATATTTATAATTTCCATGGTAACTTTCTAAGGAGTTAACTTTCTCCACCATAGCTTTACAATGATCTTTTTTCAGAAGTTGAAGACACCCCAGACAGACCTTAATTGGGGCGATGGAGTTTGGTATTATCTAAATATTTGGGGTAGTATGTAAAATCATTACCAATATATATATATATATATAACATTAAAAAATAAAATAATAAAAAGTATGACTTGTATTTTTTAGGCGTTCGCGTGAGATTAACGGTTTACTGCATTTGCATTTACTTTGAGAGCACTATTTGCTTTTGATTGGAATATTTTGATTGAATTTTGGAAATTTGAATGTGGTTTGTGACTACTATCTATTGAATTTTGAAATTTCCAACATAATTGGGATGATTTTAGTAAAAATAATTCAAACTTAAACTAAGATTCGCTTTATGCCTGTCTTATCTTTTAGACCCCATTTGGGACGAGTGCAACTGTTTGAATAAACAACTATGAAGTTACTGCTAGGAGAAGCTGTTGTAGTCTATATAGATAGTTTAGCTGTGAAACTGATTTGCTGCATCTGTTTCTGAAATAAAGATTATAATATTATTGCAGAATGTAGTTGTAAGTGCATAGTTTTAGAAATAATTTAAACTGAACAACATAACTAAATTTTAAAATATTACAAAAACTCAAAAGTCTAAAATAATACATTAAAAGTTATACATTATTTAACACTAATAAACAAAATAAAAATTATAATAAAAATGAGAACAAGTAAAATTATAATATTAGTCTTAATATCCAAACGATTAAGCCTCGTGAAGAATTTTCTTTCCAAAGCTACTCTCCACATAGTGTCATTATCTGAAGTGAACTACTCACATTCTTCAACCCATCTCTAAACGTAACAATCGTCAGATGTTTTGTTGCAGGGGCACCTATAAAATCTTCTCTCATAGCTAATTTCTCGTCGACAAGTGTATACACAATATTACATAGCATAGTTTCAGTACACAATTCTAGAGCTAGTAAAATTTTTTGAACTTATATTTCATAATAATGCATAGTTTAAGCGTTAGATTTATGTTAAGATGAAAAATGTAGAAGAAAAAAATGAATAATTAAACGGAAAACCGATATAATTGGATTATTATGAAAACAATATGGGCTCACAGTCAACTTAAAGAGATGAAGAATCTGCCATCATGACAAAGAAGATCTTATTACCTTATCTTAAAGCATAGCTATAGTAAGGCCATCCAGAAGTACGCTTTAGCTCGCATAACTCATCATAGAGCTCCAAAAAAACAAACTCACGGTTGTCTAGGAGCTCATCTTGGTGTGACCAAACTAAACATAATAATAATGAAAAAAAGTTAAAAAACATACCTACAGTTTCATGGTAGGCCATCTAAGTGGGAGCAATCTTAACATTTCCATACGAATATTTTCACAGTAAACGTTTGTTCATAGTTCAATAAAATAAAAGAAAGAAAAATATGATGAATTAAATCTGAATTGCATCAACCAATATATATATTTTTTTCAACATAACAAAAATTAGAATACATCCCAAAAGACATTCCAAAAATATACTATTATCAATGATTTATCCTATTTGATGCCTTCATTAAAGCATATGTTATTTGTTCCATTAACTGACCAATTGCAATTATTTGACGCATTCACTAAAGCATCCGTGATATGTTCCCTTAATTGAATAAAATCTCGAACACTTCCCCATCGGGTGTCTCAATATCATTTACTCCAAATTTTTCCTCTGGTATTAAATGTCTTGTAGATGTGTGTCATCAATAACCTTTATATAGTCTGTCAGAAGTTATTACATATTGTAAGTAAAGCACACTTGTGAAGTAAAAGAATTATTCAATGTGCACCAGAATGACATATATCTAAAATCGTCATGTATTTCTCTTGATTTATGACGAAAAATGGGATCTATTGGTTTGACAATGTTTGATGATTATCTTACCAAAGGATTGAGATCAATATCGAAATATGTGCTAATGGTCTTGATTGAGTGTTGAAATCATTCAGAAGTAGCACACATTAACTCATATGTGATATTATATATAAAGTAGTAACCAATACTTCTCTAGATGTAATTCTGAACGATCCAAGCAAACCCTAAGGATTTTGCAATTCATCTAGCAGATCATACAAAAAAGTTTTTGACATTCGAAACATGTTATGAAGTTTTTTTAGATGACTTTTAAGGAGCTCACCAACCCATTTTTCATCTACAGAGGAGGATGACGTGCAGGATTTCTTACACAAGTACATTTGGTAGTGTTCATTGATGTGACATATTGTAGTTGCCAAAATTGCTGTTTCATCTTCGTTTGATGGATCCATCATATTATTTTATGCATGTCAAAATAAAAAAGAAATCATGAACTAGATAATAATGAACCACTATAACGCTAACAAATTATAGATTATTCAATTAGATGTCATATAAATAATAATAAAACATTAGCACAAAAACAAAGCAAAATTTTGAAATAGAAAAATAACTAGAAGTCAAAACAATAATATATAAAGTTGAATTCACATAAATGCACTAATACAAATCATTCAAATAGATGTTCAACTTATTACAAATCAAACATAAGCACAAATAAACACAGAGTACAATTGGTTTGGTTGTTTAAGAAATGATGAAAGCAATGAATCCTTCGCTCTGACAAAATTTTTATAAAAACCCCTCGCTTCATTGGGTCTTCAAGAAGTTTTGTTGAGAATATATATAAAGTCATATCGTCGAATATTTCGAGAGTGCATGAGACAATCTCTTCTGCAATCGTAGAGTATGCCTGTGATGTTGTGCAAGCACTGAATGTCATACTAATACAAGCTATAACTAACTGTGATATTCAGCTAAAAATAAATTTGGTGCCGACACTTTATTTTAGGTTGTTGGTTTGGTGATGCATGTGGTTTGGATTGACTGGATTCACCATGTTCCACCTTCTGGAGCATATTCATGCTCATCTAAATTCTGGGGAATGTTCTGTGTTGTAGTCCGATCATTAGAATATGAAGATAGAACATCGAGAAAGATTGAATCGGGTTTCTCCTTCAGCTCTATGACACAAAACTTGAATTAATTCCGTCCGATGTAACGCACTTTTGAAGAAATCATAATTGAAATGATAGGAAAATATAAAAAAATTATATAACAACGACATCTTATCAAAAGATTCTCTCAATCACTCCACACATACTTCTGTCATTTTCTTAATAGGATCTAAACCTAAAGCATTTGCTTCTCGCTTTACTTTCTTTCACAATTTTCACTCTTTTTTAGTTGATCTCATTTGTACTTCAATTGAATTTTATCATACACAATTCCAGTTATTTCAAGGAAATTTTTTGTTATGTTTGCCAGCCTTTATTGAAATGTGTCGTGGATCTGTTGCCTACTTCGATCTTCTTTTAGCAAAAATCATAAAAAATAATCTTCGCATCCCTCTCCTAAGTGGCTGATATAACACCTTCCTTTTGTTTTCCCATTTAGTGAGCTATTACAAATTCAAGTGATGGTAAAATAAGCATGATGGTAAAAAGGTAAGATAAAATCTTGGAAAATTTTTCAAATGAAGATTATAAGTGAGAATCGATTTAGTTCATGTATATGTAATCCCTAGAAACAAACCCAAGTGAAATAATCATGAGGAAGAGCATATTTTGGTATCATGTATAAGTGAATATTCTTGGAAGAAGTGAAATAGATATGTAAATGCACATGAATTGAGTTTTATGTATGTTAATCTTTCAAATATATGTTAAAATATCACTCATCCAACTAAAGCCTTCAAATTTAACCAAAACCAACGCAATCCAACAGAATTCATAGCAACCTCTCAATATTTCAAAACAAAAGCACACAGTTAAAATATATTAACATACAGAGCACACAATTCATATGTATTCGCATATCTTTAATATCACAACACTTATGTGCTTACATACATAGCACACAATTCTTATATATTTATGAATTCCACGCACATGCCACTGAAATCTTTAATATCACACATAATATTTCTAATTTCTGATATGAGATATAATTTATAGGAGCAAGCATAAGTGAAATACACATTTTCATGCATATGTAAGGTCTCATGTATGTAGAAATTGAGGTTTAGGTGTTAGATATGTTAATGCATAAGAATTGAGTCATATATAAGTAAATATTCTAAATATATGGTAAAATACTACGAATTCATCTGCACCCTATAACTTAACCAAAACCAGAACAATCCCACCAAATTCATAGCAAACCCAAAATATTTCGAAACCAAAGCACGTCGTTTTAATGTATTCACATGCATAACAAACAATTCTTCATGTCTTTAATATCACAAAATACAACTCTTATGTACTTACATATATAGCACACAATTCTTACGTATTTTCAAATCTCTCTCCTAAAATTTCATCTTTATGCACGTTACGCTTATATCTTTAATATCACACCTAATGTATTTGATTTATGATATAAGATGTAATCCATAGAATCAAGTATAAGTGAAGTTGCCATTAAGTCAAATACATATTTTCTTGCATATTTAAGGTCTCATGTATGTACAAATTAATTTTGGGTGTTAGATATGTAGATGCATAAGAAATGAGTCATGTGTAAGTAAATCTTCCAAATATATGTTAAAATATTCTTCATCCATCTAAAGTTTACAACTTTAACCAAAATCACATCAATCCCACTGAATCCAGGTGCACACAGTTCTTATGTATTTGCAAAGTTCACACCTAAACTTTATCGTTACACACATAGTATTGAAATCTTTAATATCATACCTAACCCAGAGCTTGGAATGCACTCAATACAATCAAGAAAAGAATACTTCCACTTATAGAACTAATGGTATTTTGAAATCCGGTGACCGGGACAAAGAGATCATATTACAGAGATGCAAATGATCAAAGTGTATAAGAAACACAGAGATATATATATAGAAGAATGTAAAGCAGCATTATAGACAGGAAAGAGTTTGCCTGCACATAGATTCGACTAGCAGCACGGGGTCAAAACCCTAAACAACGGAGCAAACTGAAAACGGAGGAGGATATAACGAGGATAATGCGGGTAATTCCTCAATTTTACCTAGAGCAGTGAAGTCTTTTTAATTTTTAAGCTGCGGAGCTGACCGTTGAACCGAGCTCCTGCACGACGTTCACAAAATGTTGTTTTGGCGACGTAATTTTTTGACAAACCAACAAAAAATTAGCTCCCCAAACAGCCCATAAGATGCTTTCCAAAACGGAAAGCACCTAAAAAGCTGTCTCAAATGGGGCCTAGTCTAGATTATCGAAAAATCTATGAAGAGTAGTTTAAGGCATGTACTAAAAACTTTTCTTGGCTTGAATGGAATTTATCTTAACTGGTTTTCAACTCTATATGTGCAATTTAGAATAAGTTTTTTGTTAACATTAGTAGTACGTATGGTATTTCCTACTTTGTTAAGTCGATCCTCTTTTTAATTACCTAAATAATTTGCATTGATTTATTTAGAGCTCTTGATTTTAGTAAAATTGTCTTGTAAAAAATTTTTGTGGTGAAAATAAATTCATTTTTTCTGGCTACTGAATTTTCTAGTTTCTATTTTTATTTTTATTTTTCTTTTTTCTTTTTTTTGAGATTCTCATATACATTCAATCATTTCATTATAAATTGGTTGATTAGAGTGTTTGAGGAAGAATGAAGATTTGAATTTTTAAGATGCTTCTAAGCTTGAAAAACTCTGAATGAACCTTGCCAATATAAAGAAAATAGGTGTTTGTGAACCTTCCCTTATACACTGCCCTAGGGAGAAAAGCAAACTAACTCTCTAGTCTCGCATTGTGCAGTTAAATGAAGAATATTTGCATGTGATTTCCTGAAAGCTATAAGTACTGTTCATCCTATGCTATATGCTTCAACTGAAAAGCAGTGTATATTGAAAAAATTATTTGATAATGATAATTCTCCCCTCTGACTTGATATTATGGCGAAACTTATTTCTATTTGCGTACTCATCTTCAAGCCGGCACCACAAGCTTTCAAGGCCTTAAAGGGTTTAACGCCATGCAATCTTATCATGCCCAACAATTGCTTGAACTAAATACTTTTGAATGACTTTTGTAGCACTAATATTATACTTCACAGTGATGCTATTGATTTAGAACAGGCATGTCTCTAAATTTTAATACCTCTAAAGTGGTCTTTTTCATGCTCTAAATAATGCAATGATATGATCTTACACTAGGGCAAAATGTGGCAATTTTGATCTATCTAATCAAACTAAAATTTTCTCATTATCTCATGATTGTATTTATTCTATAACTTTTTTTTTTACTCATAAACTATCACATGCTTTCCCAAAATATATTTCCCCAATACATGTGAAGAAATAAATAATTTAGCCTTTAAACTTGTACCCTTTGATTTCTTTTGTCATTTATGATAACCATAGAATCTTTGTAAAGCTTGAGGCTCTTTCCCAAAAATATTGTACTGTACATTACTCTGAGCAGCCAAATACACAAGATGTACTCTTAAATCAAGTACATCTCGACTTAGTTAAAATCCTAGATACACAATCATGTGTTCTACTAGTAATTGCCCCTATACCTACAATGTTACCCTATTATTTACTAAATACACATGCACATCACGTGATTTAAATGTAGAGCACAATGATTTGTCATGACATGAAAAGAAAGGTTGAGTCAATTATTCACTAATTTTCATCACTCCAATTACTTAATTGGTCTTTATTAAATACTCCAATTACTTAATTGGTCTTTATTAAATTCATAGACATAGTGAATTGCTTTCTCCCTTGCCTCATGCTCATTTGTATCTGTGCTATCGCATTCTTCATCTTCAATCTCAATCATATCTTTATTTCCAAAATAATAGTTATCATTAATTGTTTTAAATAAATTTTAAAATAAAGACTCTTGATGGTTGGAACTTCAATTATACAAATTTTAATGAATGATTTTTTTTTTTTTTTGTTTATTTTTGTTGGCTAGTGTGTGAAGCATGAAGGTTAATAGATGAAGTATATTTATTTATTTTTGAGCTTTTGTTAAAAATATTCTAACCGTCTCAAAAAACTAAGGCAAGACACGCCTCAGCTTGCTGTGGTGTACACCTCACCTTGGAACACTGCCTAATATTGTGCAATTTTAAACAAGGTTTTAATTCTGGATTCTTTTAATTTTTAATATCCTAAGTTTTGGAAGTTTTGTTTGTCTTGGTTTATGTTTTTGTTTTGGGTAAATTTGTGTTTCTGAGAATAGGTTATGCTGTTTTATACTTTTTAACTTACAAACCGTATTTGAAATGATAATACATGGTATGGGCTTCTTTTATATTAAATTATGTTTTAACTAGCTTATTAGGTTAAGTTACCAGTTTGGTTTCCAAATGAAAGACTTTTCTGATGTGACTCAATCATTAAAAAAGCTGGAGTTTATAGCCATTCATTTCACCAATTTTGATCCGTCATAAACTTCTCTTGATACACATCTAACAGTTGTCGCGCAAAACAATTATTGCATTATTTTTACATGGTGCACTTATGTGTGCAGGTTGCAAGCATTTTTGTGCCTACCGTCGTTGTTATGTCTTGTCTGACATTCTTTGGCTGGTAAGTACTTTCATATAATCGTGAAGATTCTACTAGTGGGATTAATCAGGTGATTATCTATTATTCCACCCTGTCTAGGTTCATCTGCGGTTACTTCGGAGCATACCCAACAACATGGCTTTTAGAAGGTAGCAACTGTTTTGTTTTCTCCCTCATGTTCTCCATAGCAGTTGTAGTGATTGCATGCCCATGTGCGCTGGGCTTAGCAACCCCAACTGCTGTCATGGTAGCAACAGGCGTTGGAGCTGCCCATGGAGTTCTCATAAAAGGAGGTGATGCTTTAGAGAGAGCACAAAATGTCCGCTATGTGATATTTGATAAAACTGGGACGCTTACGCAAGGAAAAGCAACTGTCACAACTGCTAAAACTTTCACAGGAATGAATCTTGGAGATTTTCTCACTCTGGTTGCATCTGCGGAGGTGAGCTCTTTTTCTCTCAAAGACTCCCTATTAAATGGGTTGACATTGATTTTCCTGAGTTGTAACTTCCTTTCATCTTCTTGTGTAGTTTAGGCTAGCAGCGAACACCCTATTGCAAGGGCCATCATTGATTATGCTCGTCATTATCATTTCTTTGGTAAGTTTCCAACAGCCAAAGATGCTATGATAATGAAAAAAGATGACTTTCTCTCTGAGTGGCTTCTTGAACCCTTTGACTTCTCTGCTTTGCCGGGGAGAGGGGTTCTTTGCCTGATAAATGGGAAGCAAATTATGGTGAGTTCATGAGCTTTTGCTTCCGTCCAAGTTTTCATCAGTAAAGATGATATGGTGAACCCCATTCATGTCTTTGATAGGTTGGTAACAGAAGCTTGTTGACTGAAAATGGGCTTCCCATTCCCTGTGAAGCTGAAAATTTTCTGGTAGAATTAGAATCAAATGGCAAGACAGGCATATTGGTGGCTTATGACAGGATTTTCACTGGTGTCTTGGGGGTTGCAGATCCTTTGAAAAGAGAGGCAGCAGTTGTTGTTGAAGGCCTAAAGAGGATGGGTGTGAAGCCTGTGATGGTAACTGGGGATAATTGGAGGACAGCACGGGCTGTTGCGAAGGAGGTGAGCTTTCTTTTCCTTTGCCTAATGTGATCAACTTAGGCATCGTTTGGGATCACTTTTGTATTTTGTTTTGATTTTGTTTTGTTAATGATCAAAACATATTTGGTATGTTTGATTAAGACATGAACCGAAAAATACTGAAAAATTATTTTTGAGTGTTTTTAAAGACATGTTTATTTTTTTTTAAATATAAAAACATGTTAAAAATATATTAAATAAACTTGTTTTTAAAATCTTAGAAAAATAAAAACAAAAACAAAAAATAAAATTTATCGCAAATAAGCCCTCAATTTACAGCTTTTAGCTGGTCATTTTGGAATTTGATTTTTCAATGGACGAATGAACCTAATTGTTTGATTTGGTAAATTTTTAAATTCTACAGCTAATTTTATTATTGCATTATTATCATGTAAAGTGGGATTATAGTTGCAAACCTAGACTGGTCTAAGCATCAGATACTAAATGTCAGCTATAGTAAGCATACTCATCATTATTGGTACATTCCTATTAAGCGCTGCATGAGGTGACGATGATTGTCTTTTATGCCAATTGTTTTGTTAAAAATTGTAAAATATAATTTTGGTCACAATCAAATGAAAGCAGTAGACGTGTCAAAAAAACCTTTTCCTTTTCTACTTATTCCCCCTTTGAACTCTTTTTACCTGCTTTAGTTGATAAAGTGAATTTGCACGCATGACATGTACTTTTGCTGGCAATGAATAGGATACTTTAAAGGGACCTTAAGTATGTGGATCTCCAGGATAATTTTTTCTAGTTGAAATGATGTACCTTTAGCATACATGGCAGCCATATTTAATCTCTTTCATTGCCATTCGGTTTACTGAATAACTCTGATATTTATATATTTATGAAGATTTACATACATACGACAGAATTCATATGTGTTTTCATATCTAATACCTAGACTTTAATTTTTACAAAATGTGTATTACATTTTTTAAAAGTTAAACTCGTGGTATTTTTGATGTAATATGAAAGATTTGGGTATTGTAAATGTGAAAATAGATATGTTAATACATAAGCATTCAGTGGAATGTATGTAAATGACCCTTATATTTAATGATTATAAGTGTATTTCATTCTCTTGCTTGCCTGTTGAGAGTTGAGCAAATTATGAAGTCTGCCATTTTTAATCATATTTTATGATATTGACCCTGCGCCAGCAAATTAGTTAAATACCCCACCATGCATTGTGCAGGTTGGTATAGAAGATGTCAGAGCAGAGGTAATGCCTGCTGGGAAAGCCGATGTTGTTCGATCATTCCAAAAAGACGGTAGCGTGGTTGCCATGGTCGGAGATGGCATCAACGACTCCCCTGCTCTTGCAGTGGCCGATGTTGGGATGGCGATTGGCACCGGCACGGACATCGCCATTGAGGCTGCTGATTATGTTCTGATGAGGAACAACTTAGAGGATGTGATCACCGCCATTGATCTGTCGAGGAAAACTTTTGCAAGAATTAGGTGGAACTACTTTTTTGCCATGGCTTATAATGTGATTGCAATCCCGGTTGCTGCTGGTGTTCTCTTCCCCTTCACAAGGCTGAGTATGCCTCCATGGTTGGCGGGGGCTTGCATGGCATTCTCTTCTGTAAGTGTTGTATGTTCTTCTCTTCTTCTAAGAAGGTATAGGAAGCCCAGGCTAACGACAATACTTGAAATAACTGTTGAGTAAATTATCTTTTTTTAACCGTTTCCTGTGATTTTTGTTTTAATCGCTATATTTGATGAAGGAATGTAATCTAGTGTAGGTTCTATTTCTATGATTGTATCTGTATTTGGAGATGTACTTTTTTAATAAATACTGCAATTTACAACAGCCGAACGCTGATGTATACGAACAACTTCTGTCCTTTAGTTGCTAAGTGTTAATAAATGAATATCAATTTTTAATCCTATCCTGGATCATTTTTGGTAAGTGAATATCAAAAGAAAAAAATGCAACCGTGTCTTTTTTTTTTTTTTAAAAAAAAGTTAATTAAAAGGGAAAAGTACTAAAAGAGTCCACAAATGGCTTAAAAAATGAATCAATAAAAAAATGGATCCCAAAAAAAGGACTAAACAAAAAATGATCTTTTGTTTGGGAGGAAAGTAGATATTTATTGTCCCCTGAATGCTTCTAATCTTCCTTTGGAAGAAATCTTACGCCATATTTCCCTTGGGTATTATATCAAATTTAGTATTTTCCACATTTTTCTTTCTCCTGACCTTTCTTTTTATTATTGATATGATATTGTATTATGAGAAAATTCATTTGTTACAATATGGATCTTTGCTTAATTGATTGATTACAAAGCTCCTTTAAGTATTCATATTAGAAACTTTCAGTATCAACTACGTAATCATTTTCAGTATCAACTACGTAATCATTTTAACAAAATAAATTAAGTTGAGTGTCTTAATGAGATAAATTCAATAATATAAGAAATGATTTGATTTGGATCCTATTGTGTATATTAAAAGCTTACAAACATTGCTGAAAATTTTCTGAGATCAATTGTGAGATTGAGGGTGTGTTTGGGGAGGCTGTGACAGTGTGGTTTCGATTGCTTTGCTAGGGCATTATGAAAAATAAGTTTTTGCCCGCTTTCTCAAGGAGCTGCAGTAGTAAAGTTGTGTGTTACAGTCTAACTTGACTAATCTGATGAAAACAAAAAATCTACGATCTGATTTTCTAAAAAAAAAGAAAATTGTAATAGCCATCGAAGCTTCTTATGTAGTGATTTCACAACTACTTCTTCAAATTGTTGCAGCTGGCCCAAATATACCCTAAATGATCTCTAATTTTTACGTGCTAGCAACCAAAACTATTGTCTCAATCATAAAATTTTGGTGAGTTCAAGAGGATTGAATTTTGCTATAATTAAAGCTCTAAAATATCTAAAGAAATAGTGTATGAATGAAGGTGATTAACAAGGACTTTCCAATAGAGTTTTGATTTTTGTTCGAAATAAACAAAATATTGAACTACAAATTTGTATAAAGATTATGCATCTTTATATCCATGGAAGCAAGAGCCAAAAATGGCCAAAGAAGACGACAAGAGGAATTTTTAGATGAGATAATTAAGAGCTTAAACATTCAAGGTTCGTAAGTGTACATTAGGAATATGCCTGCAGGAATCTCAAGAAGATACAGAGACTACATAAAGAGAATTGTTGTTTGAACCTTGGCCATTATACCAGTCAGCCTCTGCAGCTGGCTGGACGAAATACTGATCCACCCACTCAACACCGCATGACAGTGCCATTACAAAGATCAACAGTCTATCCACATGCCAAAGCAGAAGCTTTCATGCACCCTCTGCTTGATGGAATAATTCTATCGAAGGGCAATGGGTCTTCACAACTGGTTCCCTCAGAAAATATGACCGAAGATCATTTAGTTCACCGAATGATTCTAGGCTGATCGAATGAGAATACTGATCTCGAAACTGCTTATATGCAACAATATAACAATAATTCTGATTATATTTTTCACTTAAATTTCCTTATTTCGCAACAAAACCAAAAACTTGATCTTGAAGAAAAATAAGAATTTAACTTTTAATTTATATATATTGGGATACTACGCAAGTATACGTATCGTTATAAAGTAATATAAGACAATTAAAACCTGAATAACCTGAATATCGAACCCACAGGGAAGATATATACTATGCACTTTTTGGAAAACTTTCTATTTTTAAAAAGACAATTATTTAAATTAAATACGTTTTCACAGTAAAGAAAGTTTAAATATTTTTTGTCATTTTAATATTTTGACAAAAATAGAACAAACTTAAAAAGATAACTTGAGTTTTTGTAGAAGAAAAACGCTAAATATGAAAATATCTTTCTCCTTATCATGAATTAGTAATACATATAGGAATTCTGTTGTAGAAGTATGGACATTGTGTTGTGCCAAATAGGAGCAATAATATTTTTTACCCTTACTAGAGATGCTATAAAGAACATTGGCTAATTTAAAGTTTGAATAGTTCTGAAGACCGGCTAGGCAATGAAGATACTAGCTCTCACTCAAGAGTTCCCTCAATTCCCTCCACCTGGGGGCTAACATCTCGTATCAGAACCTAAAATAATAAACTAAGTTGGGGGCTTTAACCTGTCACTTTAAATTCATCTAACTCTACACCCTTCAATGAATATTTCCCTATTTATTTACACTCAATCATATGAACTACATTCTCATTTATACAACCTCATGTGATTCTTTCTAATTGTTGAATGAGACAATACCAACCCGCTTCTTACATATTCTCACAACAACTTTTAACATCTAGATTGGCCAAATCAAGAAGTAAATGAAGTACATGGAATTAAATCATCACAAATTCTTCCAACATTAAAGATCAATACTCTCCACAACTTCCATCCAACACTTAATTACTTATCATTTAAGAAGAAAGATAAAGAAAACTACTTAGAATCCATAGAGAAAACAAAACCACACTTTAGTTTAAAAGTAGAAATAATTGTCAAACCAACAACAAGTCTCAATTAAAACCAAAAGTAGTCTAAAACAAAAGATAAAAACTTATCTCAAGTCCTCCACCAAACTCTTGAAGTTCCTTTGAATCTCTTCTCTTTTACAAT